GGAGTTTCAGCATCCTGGCAACAGTTCCCGACTCACCGACGGCATCTCCTGCACCCCCACAGATTCTCCGGGGGCCTCGGACTCCTCGATGGTGGCTGGGCCAGAGGTTGGTCTGTGCCTCACCTCTGGTGCCAGTACCCACATCTCAATTTTAAATCGCATGCAGACATTGAGGGTTGTTTGGAGGGGCTCAGGTGGTCTGTGTGTGCCTGTTTGTCTATGTGTCAGGTCTGGTTTTAGGCTCCACCTCTGTCAGAACATCTCAGTTCTGTGGGGGCCTATTTCCACCCACCACACTTTCTGCCAGTGGCTGGTGCCCCCACCTGCCAGTGCATTGGTGGTTCTTTGTGAGCGAGGCTGGGTGCTCGGGTGTGTAGTAGCTCACTCTCAGCAGCTGCTTGGTGGGGCCTGGCCTCTCTGGCTCTGTTGGGCCTCCGCTGGGGGTTTGGGGCCCTCGGGTCTCTGTTCTTGGGACCCTGTCTGCTCCGGTAGATCCTGCTCACTGCTGAGGCCCCCTGTGGCTTCTACACCGTGGCCACAGAGGAACCCTCATCCAGGGCTCTCCTCAGCTCTTTTCTAGGCAGGTGTCATGATTGCCCCTATGGTGGTCCTCCTGGGGCTCTCATGCTCTGGGGGGCCTCTGACTGTGTGGAGTCCAGGTCTCCTCCATGACTGCGTCATGTCTTGGGTGGCAGGGCAGTAGCAGTGTACAAAGGTGTACGAACAGGTATTTCAAATGCACACTATCTTGGTTGGCTGGTGCCTTTAAACATGTATCATTAATACTGTGTGCTGCTCATTAACATTTAATATTTATTATTTACTGCTACTTGATGTTTTTTGCTTGTTCTTTTTTCAGTGGGTGGTCAAGAAGATTTTCAGTGTTTTTTCTCTCTCTCCTATCTCTCTTCTTCTCTATTTTCTCTTAACTTTCCCAACTTCTTTTTTTCCATGCCCCAGTCTTGTCTGTTCTGATTCTAATGACTGAAATAAAAAAAAAAATCTAATAAAAATCTAAAAAAAATATGACTATCATGTGGGCCAGTATAGCAAAAGCCGTAATGGTCTAGAGCTTTATGTCTTAAAGACATTCCTGCAGTTTAACTACTTGGTGTGTGTTATCTGGCTTCATGGATCGATGAAGTTGGGTGTCATCTGCATAGCAGTGGAAATGTATGCTATGCCTTCTGATAATACTGCCTAAGGGTAGTATCTCATGATCCAGTGTGTTTTGGCATTCTGGTGTATTCACTCTCACTCTAAATCTCACCTGCCTGCACTCCTGATCGCCACAACGTACCTCCGCTCTGGACGAGGAAAGAAAAAGGTTGGACATTCTATTCTACTAGTTCCATCACTCAGTCACTGACATGGAGATCCACCCCTCCCTTTAGTCTTTGTTCTTCCTGTAGACCTCCTATACTCACCATAGCAATCTTACTCACCTTCAACCTAAGCTCTGTGAATAACACGTCTTCTCCTGCTGTTCAAGTGCCTCCTGTTCCTGCAAAGTTCTCTCTCCATCATGCTTTTCAATTAATTTTTTTTTCAATTCAATTTTATTTATATAGCACCAAATCACAACAACAGTTGCTTCAAGGTGCTTTATATTGTACAGTAGATCATACAATACAGTTTTTTACAGACGCTAGGACACATTTCTCAATACTTAGGTCACGTTTGCAAAACTCCTCACACAGTGAGCACAACAGAAGTCTATGTGGGCTAAACTGAGGATCAGTTATCATTGTTTTGGCACAAAATGCATTCAATGACTACATCTCTCAAATTTCATGAATTATCTTCTCACTCAGACACAACAACTGCCAAAAATCTTTGTACGACAGGACATTTTGCATGTGCTTACATACTGTTTTCAAAACTGTTAAACTTATGGCCAAAACAATAACACAATGCAAAACTTGAAAAGACAGCAAAATCCAACAGCAATATTTTATTGAAACATATTTTAAATCTAAAAATGCAGTTTAACCAGCCACAGCTTATTCTCATTGTAGATGAACATCTACACAGGTGTTACTCCTTCAATTTTTCAACTCCTTCAATTCTGGCAGCCAGAAGATTCTTTCCTAGGTGTATTGCCCTAGATGACATAAGATGTGATGTGGATGAGAACCTGTGGCCAAATGGAGAAGACCGAGTAGATTAGCATTACTATTGTATGTGTATCAGTGGATGGTGTGTATACAAATTCTTGTATTTTGGGATTACTTAGTGCAAAAAAATAAAAATACATAAACAAATATTAACGAATTCTGCATGATGTCTGATTCATTCCAGTAACATATATTGAAATTATAAACAGAGATGTGTCCTTGTTTTACACAAGAAAACACTGTGTAATGCTACATGTTGTTAGTGTTTTTTAGGTCATTGTTTTGTGGGTGACAAAGTGTGTTTGTCGGCTGTCAACCTTTGCTAGTGTTCTGGAAGAATGAGTTTATTTGAGACCTGAATAAAGTGTTTTGGTAGTTGTAGTGCATTTTGAATGTGAAATGAACTGCTTTGCCAAGCTGAACGGTCAGTTAGGAGGATTGTGTGAAGTGTTTTGCAAAAGTGACCTAAGTATTGGGAAATGTGTCCTAGCGTCTGTAAAAAACTGTAATAGATTCAGAGAAAACCCAACAATCATGCTTTGACCTTAGCGATTCCTGTATTAAATAAAGTTTTGTCTAAAATTGAATAGCTGTCAAGGTTACGGGTGCAGGACTCAAATGCAGGACTCACTCTGGTTGAAAGTCAAAAAGGTGGTTTATTTACACATGTGAAATATATACATATATAGAATGCTGGCGGGAAAATGGGGTCCAGGGCAGCCAGGAAAAGGTCCAGGGTAGGGAAGGTCCAAACTCCTCTTCAAACAGCCAGTGAATCACTATTATCCGCAATCCAATCCAGTCCAAGCTCACTCACACTCACGCTCATCCACTCAGTATCCACAAGCAAGGGAAACAGGCCAGGGTCCAGGGAAGTCATTCCACAAGGAGAGAAGCTGACGTTAACAAGGAGCACTAGGAAAACACGAGGAAATCACTAGGCGAGCTGTGTTACACTGACGGAGGCTTGCACAATGATCCAGCAAAGAGTCAGACTCCACTGAGGCCTTAAGTACTGCAGGAGTACTCATCGGCGATGGCAGGTGAGTAGAGCTGCACAGGTGAGTACTGAGGCGGGGACCAAAGCCAGAGTCCGCCCTGGCGATGAGGAGCGAAGGGAAAAACAACAAACAACACTGAAGAAACCTGGGACCATGACAAAAGCTGTATATTGATTCTACTTTTGGGTCCAACATTTGCACACTAACCACTGACCTTGACAGTATAATGTAAACATGGTCCAAGCATAAAACTTTGTGGAACTCCATAATTAACCTTAGTTTGTGAAAAGGACTTTTTAGGTTTGTCAGCATCACTCTGGGACAGAATGTTTCTAATTGTACAGATGTTGTGCAAATGAAAAAATTGGCCAATAATTACCCGAGACAAATGGATCCAATGATGGCTATTAAATACAGGGAGTGCAGAATTATTAGGCAAGTTGTATTTTTGAGGA